GCATTCGATAGATCTTGCTTCCGTCTATAAAGTAGATAACGTCGCAGAGCTTACTTTTTCGTTTTATGGCGGATTAGTTTGTGAAATTCGTAAAAAGTGCGTTAGTCTTTATCTTGTTTTCAGTGTGTTCGCAGCGATTTTCTTTTAACTTAAGCGATTATTGCTCAAAATAATAAGAGCCACAATTCAAGCAAGGCCCAGGGAACAGGAACTTTGATGCGGGGGAAAAATAAAGCACGCATTAAAAACTAGCTTAGCTTTGACGTGCATTTCGACCTAATGAAAGAGAACTTTGCATTCTTATGACTAATTCCTTTCTTGTTGATCTTCCTTTTGATAAACATCACTGTAAAAATGTCTTTGCAATCACAAAGCAGAACTTAGCTTTTCTACGTTTCCCCATTTTTTGTGCTGGCCGATTCTGGAACGAAAGCCTGCACTTCGAAATGCCGCCAAATGGAAGAATTCAATCTCACTGCGGCTTTTTTACTCGGTTTCTACTCTCGTTTGCTTTTGCTAACTGTTTTGCATGTTTTTTTTTCCTTCTGATTTTCTTTAATAAATCACACTTTCTATGAGGGGCAGATATTCAAACACTTTTGACGCCCTCTCTTTGGACTGTCAAAGGTACGGTTATCGTTCCTTAGCCCATATCCAAACTTTACGATAACATATGGGTGAAGTGATGGAAAGCTTTACTCTACTAAAGCAGACTTACTGGCCTGCTCTTAATTTTCACAGAGCGATTGCTAGCCCCGGGTGTGGGGCGGAGGTCGCTTAACGATTAGTAGGCCAGACGGAGGGAATCTAACCCAGCTGGGCATCCAGCCAAAACTGGAAATATCGAACTCCTTCTCAGCTTGGGGGCCCAACCAGGGTATACACCGTGTGTAAGTTTGATGCCCGAGACCACCACGCCACGATAAGGCGGCAAACGTTTTTGATAGGCCACTCTCTCTATTCGAATCTTTCCAAGGGGCCTTGACACTCTCACATGTACAGGAAAATTTCTGGTCGAAATAACGCCTCCTGCAATTCAGTATTTGGCGGCAATCATTGAATTATTACGGCGGTGATGAAGCAGTCGTGGCAGTGCTTTGTAGTACTATCAAGTAAATCTTGGTGAAGTGGCACTTCGAAATATAGTGTACACTAGCCAAAACTATGAAACGCCGTAAATCAGTCTTACAAAGAAACGATACTCGGTGTCCGTGGCCCTTTGAGACGAGATGTAAACTATTGAACTCGTCTTAGAGCGCCATTTCAAATCCGACTTCCGTTTTTGCTGATCGTTTCCCTGAAAATAGTTATGAAGGATTTTTCAAAGGAATGGTTGTATTGCCAAAAGCGTCGCTACGGTGTGGTGTAGAGGCTACTACGATAGCCTCACAAATTAGTGCAGGTCCAAGTTCGAGTACCTTTCTATTTTCAGTTTTGCGTTGCCTCAGTCAAACTTTCTTTTGAACAAGGATCTTCGAACGTATTCCTTTTGGGCGACCATTGACGTGAAAATCCTTCATAACTTCTTTTAGAGAAATGATTAGCAGAAGCGGAAGTCAGATTCGAAGTCACCTTTCCAAGGCGAGTATGAGAGTACACGTTTTATCCCAAAAGGCCACGGACACATGCTCCCTTTAGCTCTCTGCAAAGCTCCTTGAGAGAGTCAAGCTAGATTTTGACTGAAATCTGTACGAGTGTGGCCAATATAATAGAAAATAAAATGTCCGTGAGCTCGTGTTGCCCTAAGATCCATGCAATCAGTATCATGTGTTTACAAATAACACTGACAAACTTATACTTATACTAGCTGGCTCACCCGGCTCCGCCGTATGTTCCGAATAGAAAATTCCATTTCTGAACCGATCGGGACCAAACTTGGCACACATACACTTCGGGCCCCGGCGGGTGTCACAGTCCACTTTTCGTTATCGATCGATGTCGATTTCATCGATTTTTTGCAAAATTTGAGCTAGGGGGCTGATATTTGGCAGAGGGTGTAATCGAGCATGCTGGTCACCCCCGTGGGGGTCAGCATGCTCGATTACCCCCTGTGCCAACTCCCAGCCCCGTAGCTCAAATTTTGCAAAAAATTGATAAAATCGATATCGATCGATGATGAAAAGTAGCCTATGACACTCGCCGGGGCCCGAAGTGTATGTGTGCCAAGTTTGGTCCCGATCGGTTCAGAAATGGACTTTTCTATTCGGAACATACGTACACACAGACAGACAGACATACAGACAGACAGACAGACACACAGACATACAAACAGACATTCAGCTTTATATATAAGATTTCTAATTCCTTAACAGATGAAAGATTATCATGAAAGTTTAATATAGTGAAAAGACCTTTCCTTCTTTTTCATGTGATGTACATATAATATCCTATACCATTGATTTTGAATGGCCGATTGAATAGGAAGTAACAGAGTGAAGTCGGCTCGTGTGAATGGCTGAATGTTGCATGACAACTTCGATTAGTCTTTAAAGCATATACAGAGCGTCCTAAAAGTAAGCACACTTTTTTTATACGTTAACAACTCCTTTACCCAAAGTCTTTGGTTTAGCTTTAAGTACCGTTCATCAAAGCGGGCTTTGAGTTAGATTTACAGTATGAAGCGAATTATTCATCGCTCTTGGTTACTGCAGTTTTACGGTAGAAACTTTCAGCTTAGAGCGCTAACCATTAGAGCAATGACCATTGAAGACATGCACTTCAATGGTCATTGCTTTGCGTCATTGTGAACTAACCGTGTTTCAAAAAAAATCCAAATAATCTGAAAAGCTGTATATCAAAGTTTTCATGCGCGTTGAATTCATAACTGAACTTCTCACCAATTTGTAGAGTTTTTTAAAAGGTGTAAAAACAATTCTAAGGAGCATTGTGAAAGCAGCTTGCCGTTTACTAAGCACAATTCATAAACGAAGTATTGTAGCAAAGTGCAAAGCCCATGTTTAGTGTTTGAATGATGTCAGCGGCTCTGACTAATGTAGCTCAAAGATTTTCAGTTGTTTGGTCTGCTATCTGAGGCGAGCCGGGGCCCTTAATGGCTCAAACCTCTCATAAATTTCGTACCGTAATCCTACAGTAATGAAGAACGAGGGATAATCCGCTTCACGCCTTTAATCTAAGTTGAAGCCTGCTCTACTGATTGGTACATGGATCTTATCGTTAGCAAAAAAAACGATCAAAAGTGTGTACTTACTTTTGGGACATCCTGCATATTTTCAAAAAAATCGAACAAGGCAGTTTCAGCAAATACTCTGAGCAATGCAAGGTTGCTTACGACTTGGAAATGTTCTCAGTTCTCGATGCAATATAAGCCAGACATGCACTTCAATGGTCATTGCTTTTATAACCACAACTGTACTGAATCTAGCGCAATTGAAATTACAAGCTATCAAGTTAGCAAAGGGCGTGTTCCGTGTTTCCAGCCTCTTCAATCTCTGTTTGTCATGAAAGCTATCATCATTAGCACCACCGTAAACAGATCAATACAAAGTCAAACAGATCATCAAACTTGAGTTTTTAGCATGAAATTTATTCGGGGTCAAACTTTGCGTCACATAATGAATTGTTTTCATCTCTTTACAGCGAATTTTTGAAAAGAACAACATCTTCAATAAGTCAGAAAAGCAGCTCGAATTAGAAGGAATCAGCATTTAATATCGGAATTATAGCTCAAGCCACAGATTGTCGGGCCCTGTATAACAGCAGATCATCTGGCAAAGGAGAATCCGAAGTTGCAGTGGCGAACTGGAACAAAGTGCATACTAAAAAATGCGTCCTGACGAGCTGATTACAAGTAACCTTATGTATCTGTTGTGCGATTTTCTTGAAGAGATTATGAGCTGAGAACGCGAGTACGTGTTTTTAAATAACAAATTCGTGAGATGTGGCACTCAATGCTTGTCAAATCTGAGTCTTCAAACGCTCATAGCTTCTTTTACAGAACCGCACAGCACGTATGGAAGCTAGATCTGAAAGCGGGGGCGATCGTTACGTGTGGATGTCAATAAAAAACGTCGCAACGCGGCTTTACAGTAAGCTCCCGCGGGAGCACTTTTGCAGAAAACTTGTCCATATTTATACACCTAGACTACTAATGCTTCATTTATATTGTTAATGCCTTTGCCTTCTTCTGTGTGTGTTTTGTCCTCTCACGAGCTAATTATACAATTTTTGTGGCATAACTTCAAATAAGTATCATGGGGAAGGATACTTATTAAGTACTAGCTGGCTTACCCGGCTCCGCCGTATGTTGCGAATAGAAAATACCATATCTCAACCGATCCGGACCAAACTTGGCACACATACACTTCGGGCCCCGGCGGGTGTCACAGTCCACTTTTCGTTATCGATCGATGTCGATTTTATCAATTTTTGCAAAATTTGAGCTAGGGGGCTGGAATTTGGCAGAGAAGTGTAATCGAGCATGCTGATCACCCCCACGGGGGTGATCAGCATGTTCGATTACCCCCCCCCCTCTGTGCCAACTCCCAGCCCCGTAGCTCAAATTTTGCAAAAAATCGATAAAATCGATATCGATCGATGACGAAAAGTAGCCTATGACACCCGCCGGGTCCCGAAGTGTATGTGTGCTAAGTTTGGTCCCGATCGGTTCAGAAATGGAATTTTCTATTCGGAACATACATACACACAGACAGACAGACAGACAAACAGACATTCAGCTTTATATATAAGAACACAGACAGACAAACAGACATTCAGCTTTATATATAAGATAATAGGTATCCTTCTCTGAGTGATCTAAAGTCATTGTTTTTTGGAATATGCCTGCTTTACAGGAGATGGTTGTGATTTGGCAACTAATATTGTGCATATACTCATGGATATCGATGTGCTTATATTCGTACATAGTATGGAAAGTATTGCGTTGGCGACAGCATCACCAGTCGTTCAAAATAACTTACTATTTGCTGTTCATTCTACAGTTTATTGCGGACCTTTATGCCTTCATCTTTGTGGAATTTGTAATGCGACCAAGGAAGTACAACTACTTTAACTTGTTTTCCGAACACATGTCCGGTCTAGCTTTCTTCTCAACTGCGAATGTCCCAATCTTATGGGGAATTCTGTGTAGTGGACATGTTGTGATAGCTTTAAATCGTTTCACAGTATTCCGAGTGCCCCAGCAACAGAATAAGGTACAACATCTTCAAACCCTTAATCATTTACGAGTTACCTGTTTGTACAGAACTGGAAAGGTTCCACTGCAGTAATGAGCGTAATCGCACTTTGGCTTTTGTCTATAGTGACTACTATCCCAGCAATCATATTTTATCGCAATCCACCATATTTTTATATTACGAATAAAGGATATTTACAACTAGCTGGAGAAATCAAAAACGAGGTCTTTGGAAAAATGGCAAAATAGAGTTTACTTTACATCTTTTCAGTATATCTTTTACCACGGTGTTGCAATTAGCATAATTGCTGTTACTGTATGTTCAGCCTGCTACGGATTATCTTACAAAAAAGCAAAAAATTTTGGAAACTACACGGTAAGTTCAAAGTTTATGTTTCACCCAAATTAGATATTGAAAAAACTGCATAAGCTTCCGAGATATAAGAAGCTTATGAGGAAATTTACTTGATCGTCGTGATTCAAATAGATAATGTGGTTCCAATACAGCACAATGGTCAGTAATAAATCAATTTTTCCTTGCTCTTAAGTTTTGTTCTATGTCTCCTTCCTTCAAAATTTCCATTCTCAACTCTTTTATAAAGCAAACACAAAATCAGCGGAGCAATGTGCTTGGCAAAAGATGAGCTAACGAAAGGGTAGATAGAAATGTCAGTCTATAAAAGTGTAGTATTATGTCTTTAGTTCGTATGAAATTCAATTTTATCAGAAAACTATTCTTAGATAGAAATGTCAGTCTATAAAAGTGTAGTATTATGTCTTTAGTTCGTATGAAATTCAATTTTATCAGAAAACTATTCTATCTCCAATTCATTCTTTCCCTCAGACGGAGTATAGAATCTCATCGATGCAAGTATGATTTGCACTTGCTACTTTGTCAGCATTCCAGTTTACGCAAAAGATTATAAAATGAAAGCCAATCTTCATCCGAAAGCATATATAAACCATATTCGATGTTTGCTTAGCAAGACGCTTCATGGAAAGAGCAGAAAACTGTGCGCTATGGATAATAGACGATATGGATCTTAATTGAAAGCCTACCTAATCGCCTAGCAATTTGCGAACTATTCAATATTTTAGTTAATACCGGCACGAGATGGCATCAGAGATTTTTGGAGATTTGCAGACGACGCCTCCGTTGACTAACAAGGGAAGGATACTTGATGGCTGTTGCCTTTTGCAATGAAATGTATACCAGTAGATGCACCTTGAAACGCTGATTCCAAATCTAAGTTCATTATCTGCTGTGCGACTCTCTGAACGAAATCATAGACTTTTTTCGTATCGATTTTACGAGACTTAGACAGTTAGAATCGCCAGTATCCAGGCTTTTTAGACTCTGATATATAGGAGACAGTTTTCCTGAGCTTAACGTAAAGCTTTACTTTATTCAGACGCTTTTTTGTAATGCGTAAGCGGACATTCTAACGATATTGATGAATCCTGCATCAAAAACAGTGCAAATTTTGGTGGCAAGAAATGTTCATAACTTCTTTCGGAAGAGTACACAGCACATACCGAAAGCAGATTTGGAATCAGCGCTTCAAGATATATTTAATGATGTCCCCTTCATCTCAAAAGGCCACGATCACCAAGTATTCTTCCCTTGTAAGCAAATAGGTGGACATTCCTTAGGAGGTGAGAGAGAACCACAGACAAGAGAAGAAGAAAGAAGCAGAGAGAAGATGAAAGAGAAAATATAAGAAAGAACAGAAGAGGACATCAGGCTGTCTCATGAGTTTTTTGCTTTTGATTTTGAACCGCAATAAGTCATGAGCTTATCAATTTTAGGCCCGTAGTAAACCCCTGTTCAGCGCAACTCGGCCAGGGGCGGGCCTACGTTGAACGAAGAACGACTTAGTCAGGCATCCAGTAAGCTATCGATATGGACACGGATCGTCTTTTGGACATGATAACCATGTGTGTTCTTGAAAATACAACCCTCGAGCACCTTTGATCGAACGGCCAAGTCAGTGGGATTCTAAGAGTGCTGCCAAGGTTCGAGACTTGCTGGTGGTAGCATCTTTGCTGCGTTGCCGGGCAGTCTTTGATAGCGGTCACTGTCAAAAATCGATGATGATCGCTGTCACAGTTATCGCGTAGCAACGAAGATATAAAACAAATCACAAATGTTGGCATGCATATCGGCAAAAAATCAGTTTCCAAAAGTAGATAAAAAGACAAATTTTCATTCTTTGCATTCCTTTTCATTAAAACCGCTATAAAAAAAATCAAGCAAGAAGTGCAAGAAAAAACAAAAAATCTTTCCAATTTCTCTCCGCAATCAGCTGATCATCAATCTTCACACATTTAGGCCCCGAAATTGTGCAGTTTTGAGCGTTAACATCGCAATAACAGCTAAATTCTCCCGTAACTTACTCACGAGCAACTTGAAAAATTTGTCTGCTTCTTCTCTTTAGCACACTATCTCTCTCGGGTCACCCGAAAATTTAAAATCGGATAAGTGGCATTCTGTTGAACTGACTGTGACACTTGACCGGACAGTTTTCTGACTGTCCAACTCACTGGCCTGAAGCACGGTAAGATTGGCTGGATTAGGTTCACCATAGAAAGTATTTCTGAATGACTAATCTCAGGCCACCTGAAATGAATAGGGTTTACTATACGGGCCTTCGCCTAAGGGAACTCGCCGGATCTCTCATTCACTCACACATACATGCTTGGCATGGGATATTCAAATATGACGTTGTTGTTTGTTTCTGGAAGACTAGAAGGCTAGAAGTCGGGAAAACCAAAGTTTCCAAGCTTTCGAAAAAGCAGTACTAGCTTTCCTCACATAAGTAATGTTATCACAAGCCTTCAGAAGTATAATAATAATTTCCAGCTTTCTACAAGCTCTACCTCTTGAAAAATGTTGCTTTTGACATGAAAAACTTTAGCTAGAAAAGCTATTGAAAATCGCTTGCCGCTTGCAGGGAGCCGAAAACTTACTGTTGTATCTTTAAGGACTTGTAGTAGACATTTAATTATGTGGAAACCAGTATCGCTTTTCTAAAAATTTCCTTCAGTTTTCTCGATTTCTAGCCCAGAAAAAAATACAGCAACGGCTAATATGAATTTTCTTTATGGAGAGTGCATATGTGTGAACGAGCGGAAGATTCGGTATGCTTTCTTTAAACGAAATTATAAAGTCTTTTGATTTTCGGGGTCCCAACACTTCCTAAATTTCATTTTGCAACTCGAAGTGTAGCTGCTGCTGGTGTAAACTATGCTTGCTATTTCGTAAAGCTTGCTCTATTGAAAAGTACTTTGCATGCTAATTCAAACTAGAAGTTAATGACTTATTGCGCGAGAAATGTTAAACGTGTAAACAATTCAGTGATGTCGTTTTGCTTGTTTATAGTTTGTATTCTGTAAACTGAGTGCACGTTGTGTTCGGCGCGCACCACGCACCTTGGATCAAAGATTGCACCACTCAGAGTATGATTGGCTACTAAACGGAAGCGGTTCGAGGCTGTTGATAGACTAGTATAGCATTTAGGATATTAGTATAAATTTGTACTACCTATGTTCCTTATATTTAGTCTTATACCAAACCTTTGCAAACATGATCGCAAATTATAAAATCTCAACAAACGCTACTCTTAGAAGAATATTATTTTTTAGCATAAAAAAGGATGTCGTTGTTTTTATTTATAGAAGACAACTAGTACCTGCGAGAACTGATGTTTGTTAGAAAAGTAGGTTTGTGAGCATTGAAGGTTGCAGTTTTTCTTGATGGAGTTCCTTCGAAATTTTCCCAATTTCTACCTAATTGTACGACCAAATTTTTTTGCGAATGATCAGGCACTATTTCGTAAAACTCGTTTTGATCTATTTTGATGTCTTTCAATGGTTATAGATATAACCATTGTTACGCACAATGGTTATATCTACCTTGCAGCGTTAGTACAATGAACGCTGCAAGGTAGATACACTGCACTTGATATAAATCAGTTGAAAGAAACAGAATTATGTCAAAAAATTAAAAAATTTCGTGAGGTAAATTAAAGTATTAGGTCGTAACAGAATTGATGCAAGTTTCCTGAATTTTGTGTTTGGATCATTGTAACTTTTTACACAAGTGCTCTTTTCGTGTGCAATAAAAATTGTTGCAATCAGTAACCTTGTTTCAACTCAGTGTGCACTGTTGTGCTGTTGTAGCTTCACTGACAGTCTTATAGCCCTAACATTGCCGGGGACTTTCTTGGAAAACCTTCACTTTAAGAGACCATAACTTATTAAATGTAGTAAGGTAGCGCAAATATAACTCAATGTGTAAGCTACAGTTGGTTTCGCAGCGGCATTTAACTTAGATTTTACGAAGATTTTGCCAGAGGATATTTGAGAAATTTTGAAGTACTCATTTTTCAATTTTTCGGAGAAGGTAAAAAAACGAGTTTTTGAGACTTTTGAATTTTTTTTCAAAGCTGAATACGAAGAACGGCCCTGGTCTTTCCAAGCATAACTGTTGTCGCAGGTCCGCGATGCAGAGCAGCAACTCGGAACAGGTATCGAGGGCGCTGTATGCCGCGTTTGCCTTCGCGTCCTTTGTGGGCTGCTGCAAGACCACCTCCGGCTTGGAGCGCAGCCAAGTAGCGGGGTATATAAGGCTGCGAGCGAGAGCAGTACTCGCCTCTCCGACCTTCGTCTTTATCACTGATTATTTTGTACCATACTAGGCTACGTCCTGGGCAGCCCGCGTTGAGGATTCCCTGTTGAGTGGTTGAGCCTTTTGGATCCTGCGGATTCGACGCGCGTGAGCGTGAGGAAGTGGAAGTTCTAGATGAACATTGTTGCGGGAGTGGAGTTGGTGAGTGCACCGCTCCACGGGACTGGGTTTCCAGCGGCCGACTCTGTGGAGGAACCCGAATTTCTTGGTTGGATTGAGCCTTCTGCACATTGGCAGCCCGTCCTGTGTTATCAGTCTGGTCATCCTCTTTAGGCACGCCGTATTTCTTTGTATATGTATGTTTTATATCTGTTGTTTTACGTACATAAACTTAATCTTATTTACGCGCGTTATACATAGGTTTGTGAGTTGGGTGACCGCGTCGAGTGAAAGCGCCGTGAGAATCCAGGGTGTTGGACGCGTAATGTCTTAGGGCCGCATGCACTAACATCCCCGCGGGGAGGGGATCGCAGCTTAAAAGAAAGCTTTATATTTCGAAACTCCGGATACCTGGATTTCACGTTGTGTACCTATCCGTAAGTATTCCTATTACCCTTCACTATGAACATGTTGAACAGGAGCGAGAAGCTGTACAAACCGCATTTTCCACCTTTTGTATGATCCCTGATGATCCCTGGCGCTTTTCTTCAAAGTCATTTTTCTTTCTCCGAAGTTATCGAAGAATCTCCAGAGTTGTGCAGATTGTCTAACCCGACAGTGCCAAGCATGTTGCTGCTAAGAACAAATGATGTTTTGAAGTCATGAAATTTGCGATGATCCACAGGTCGAGATTTGAGGCTTACCGAAAAATTCGACTTTTCAAAAACTCATTTGTTCTCATCAGCAACATGCTTAGCACTGTTGTGTTAGATGTTCAGTACAACTTTGAAAGGTTTTCGTTAACTTCGGAGAAAGAAAAATGACTTTAAAGAAAAGCGCCGGGGATCATCAGGGATCATATAAAAGCTGGAAAATGCGGTTTGTACAGCTTCTCGCTCCTGTTCAACAGTTCATAGTGAAGGGTAGTAGGAATACTTACGGATAGGTAGACAGCGTGAAATCCAGATATCCAGAGCTTCAGGATATGAAGCTTTCTTCTGAAGCTGCGATCCCCTCCCCGCGGGGATATTAGTGCATGCGACCCTTAGGGTGTAGGATTGTGGTGTAGAATAGTCGAGCCCACGGCTAGGGCATAGGTGCGATAGGGGGAGAAAGGTCCCCTTCAGGTGAAGGAGGTTTTGGCTATTTCTGACCTAGAAAAACGAAGGAGGTAACTGGGTCTGAGACGACTGCTAACGCAAGCTTACATGTCTAAAGGGAGCGGGAGTGAAAAGAAGGAACATAAGTGGTACAGAAATGCAATATAAAAATCTCCTCAATGCTTAGGCTTTGGAAGGTCATCCAACAGAGACTTTTTTGACTCAGGAAAGCTTTATGTTTCATCAGTCGACATACCATTCGAAAGCTTGACACATACAGAATCCAAGTAGACCGTCTTTTTTTCTCAGCTCTCCTGTGAATTTAGATATAAAAAATCATATATAGCTCCAGTATCAGCAATTTCATTTCATGAGATTTCATGCATGCGAGATTTCATGCAATCACTGTGAGCTCCATTTCTGAAAGAAAGAGGAAAGCTAGAAAAAGGAGACGGTCTACGTTTACTCGCGAAGTCTTGCTTTGTAATAGAGTTAGACAACAGGGCATTTTAAATCACTCTTTTCTCTGCTTCGTGAGCTTTCTAACGAGAGGTTGTTGGGTGAGAAAACTTGTGACCTTTCAAAAATGGGGTGGAGATATTCAATACTAAGTTGATTCCTTTGATTGTACTGGCGCGTGGAAGGCGCTCGCCTTGCAAGCACTCTCTCTAATCAATCTCTAGCCTTGATTAGGCCTCTACCAACATTAGGAATTCAAAGGTCGTGTGCTATGAGTGCATGTTTCCACTTGTAGGACTGAAAGAAAATTGCTTGAAATAAGTAGAAGTGATCCAAATAAGTTCCTTTGAAAACGGTGAGGGTCGGTATTCACATGTCGGGATGCTGCTCGAAGCATGCTTTTGACAATATTGACCTTTGGCCTGTTCACTTCTACCCTATTATTTCCACGATTAATGAGAAGGCAGTATGTGACAAGCAGGGTGTAGGAGACGGTAACAATTATTGTCGACAACTACTATTGACATTGCGAAGCCCTTATATCTTGATGGACTAAACCTTTTTTCAAACTTGTTTCCTCAAGCGAACTTGTTGTTCCAGTACAAGTCAACCAAGGCTGTTACTTACTACCGCTGTGTAAATAGTGATTGATAAAGTTCGAACAATTCGGAGATCAAAAGTCGTCCAAGATTCTTCAAAACTCGAACTGCGCGTGTATACACATCAAACAATATATGTATTTTTGCCATAGCTGGAAACCGGGAAACAAAAATAGCCTTGTGCAAAAATGCCGCATTTCCAGGTTTTTACGCCTACTGTTGTTTTCGAGAAACAGAACTTGTGAAACGCCAAATTATGGTTTGTACTTCAGAAAATTTTGGAGTAAATGAATGTGAGAACAGCCCAGAATTTTGATCTTATTTAGGCCCGAACAACGCTGCAATTTTGTATATGAATGCTAGCATGTGCATTTTACATATAAAAAAATTGAATATCTGTTTGCTTATGTATGTTTGCATGTTCCGAGTAGGATATTCATTTCTGAACCAATCCGGGCCAAACTTTGCACACTACGTTCGAGTCAATGCGAGTGTCACATGCTACTTCTCGTTATCAGTCGATACAAATTTTGTAAATTTTTGCAAACTTTGAATTATAGGGTTGTTGGGAGTTATCATTGTCACAGGGAAGTAGCAACCATGCTGTTCACGAAAACTTGTTGAATTGAATTGAGTCAACGAATTGGCACGTAGGGTGCGAAGACAAAGAATTTTGCATTGACAGGGACGGAGTTGGATGCGCCAGCTTTTATGTATAAAGCTGAATGTCTGTTTGTCTGTATGTATGTCTGTCTGTTAATACGTATGTCCCGAATAAAAATTTTTATTTCTGAACCGATCCGGACCAATCTTGGCACACTTACACTTCGGGGCGGGGCGGGTGTCAAAGGCTACTTTTCGTCATCGATCGATGTCGATTTTATCGGTTTTTATCGATTTTTTGTAAGGTTTAATCTAGGCTGGGTTTGGCACAAGGGGGTAATCGAGCATGCTGATTACGAATACAATATTGGTTTTTGGAATTATCCATTACTTTTAGCGATTTTATCGAATTTTTGCAAAGTTTGAGCTACGGGGCTGGAATTTGGCACAGGGGGTAATCGAGCATGCTGATTCTAAGACAGCGAGAATGGTGAATGGCATGTAGGCGTGGACAGGAAAGGTTGTACAGGGATAAGGATGAGAGCTTTATCATAGTGTATTGACAGGGACGGGCGGAGCCGGGTAAGCCAGCTAGTACTATATAATATCAAGTAGAAGGTTAAACAGGGACTGATTTTTGAAATTTATTAAATGAGATCTATTTCGAAAATCGATTCTTATCTTGCCGAGTTAATACTAATCGCTTTTCTCGCTCACATCCTTCTATTCATTAAGCCGTGTTAGTGTTCTTTACTACTGAACTTTCGAATCGAGTTGATTTCATTTCTTCCTCATTTAAACGCTAAGCCTCAGAATCTTGCTTTATCTAAGTTTGTTTTTGCCTCCTTTCTAAACTTCAGCAGCAGGATTTACATACAACAGTGTGAAAAAAGATAGCTCAGGGAGGGCTGCATGAGTCAGTCCTAACTTTGACCAATATTTAGGTTGTCGCTGTTTTAGTGATCTTAGCGTAGTCTTCGACTTATTTGGACATTACAGGCTGTTGAGTATCGCATTCTTCTTACTGCTATAGCATCGTCTATACCATTTTGCATGGAAATTATCCGTTTAACGATAGTGTTTTGTAGTTACCAAGTGAAGGATGACCTTTTTACATTTGCAACGGATCTATGGTTTGTTTTTTTGCATAGCGCTTACGCTCAGTTGAATGAAATCTTTATTGAACTTTGAAATTTCTGTTAATCTTTGTTAATTTCAAAATTCTTGGATTACAAAAAACTTGAGAAGTTCCTTTAGGGTTTTAGGGCTTTAGGGTTTTTGCTCACCTATTTAGTAGCGCCGGACAGGGGTGGAAGGGCACTTGAGCTGTGAAAGTGTGCCTGCTTTTACACGTGAATAAATGAAATAATTTCTTAATCATGAAAAATCAGAATGCAGTGATTGCCCCATGCGCCTTTCTCGCAATTTTCATTGTTCAAGAATGTTGAGGTTTTTTAAATTATAAAGTGTGATGGGCACGCTTTCTCTCAGTCAAGAAAATTGCAGTCCTCAAGATTATCCATATCCTTAAAAGTTGGGCTTACGTAGATTATTTTCCAGAATTTGGCGATTTAACCACCTTTAGGTTTGTTGAGATTGAACTGATAGCGACTGCACCAGTATGGCTTCATCTCATAATCAACAAAACCCTGCGGCAGCACCTGCTAAAGAAAGGATGAAGACTAATTGAGCATTTCCTTAACAGATATTAAAGTGCTCACAATCTTTTTTAGTAATGAATTTCAAGAGAATTTCCGGTTCAAGCGAATTTAATCTTATCTCAGAATTTTCCGTTTCCCAATTCGCTATCGTGCTCCGTTAAATATTTATGAAGAACTTCAAAAATTTGTTAGCGGCTGATGATCCTGCAGTGAATCATATGACTGACTACAATCTGCTTGTATATTAGATGTAAATGCAATGCATTGTCCACCCAAATTTGGTTGTTTTAGGGCCTTTTTAAGTCCCTTATTCCTAATATGAAGTCGAAAATCCGGAAAATCTCGATAATCCCCTTTCCGGAGAAGCTGCAGGCCGGCTCTCCGGATCGGAGATGAATGAGCGCGCAGGGATGGGCGGGCATTACTGGGCGGGGGGGGGGGGGGGGTGCCAACGCCGACGATCAATCATTGAAGCTTACATAATTCACATGCTGTATTGGGCACAAAACAGAATTCTATCGCGAATTTATGGCGATGTGATTGCTGATTATTTCCATTTGTAAAAAATAGCAGAAGCCTTAACATAAAGCTTACATGAAGAAGCACAACGCTTCGGGCATTTACTGCTCCAAAATGTGGTGCCTGCGTAAACTCGTCTGCTGCTAGGGAGATGCTACTTGTACACCGTTTATTGATACCAGGCCACTCAGGGTGCCACTATTGACAGCTATCGTTATTCTTGACATATACCCGACTTGAGGTACTCATGCATTTTCGCTAAAGCGATTTTCTCACAACCGAAGCGAAATTTTGCGCCGCGACTTAGGCATTGGCACTATAGTGTGTCCTACATATCGTAAGCTGCCAAAAGCTCAAGACACCTGAGTTAGGGCGGATGATGCCTTTAAGCTTACAAGGGGGCCTACTCAACTTAGCTCGGTTTGGCAAGAACATAGATATTCTGGATCAGCTTCAAATGCTGATTTCAAATATGGTATTTCTAGCCCGCTAAGTGCTAATACATTTGTGTTAAGCTCCTTCTTAGTGAGAAAAGATTGAAATGCGTTATTTCGATATCTCAGCAACTTTTTCTTGCAAGTTTTTAACTACAGTCAGTCTCCCCCTTGTTCAGTAGTATGCCAATTTTGCGCAGGAAAAAACCCTTAACTCGCTTTGGGATGGTGCGCGGCAGCAAGGAATAGCATATTTAGAATCAGCGTCTGAAGTTGATTCAGAGTATGTATATGTCCGTTGCCAAAAAGTCAAGCTATGTCAGGTAGCTTTCTTTATTAGTTGTACTCCGCTTACATTCGTCTAGATGTGTCCGTAAGCGTAAGTGGTTGCAGCTTCGTAAGTATAGTATAGTAAGTACGCGTCTTTTTTTCAACCTTATGTTACACAGTGTTTGTGTTGTTTTGTTTTGTTTGTATTAATCACTGCTTATTGTACTTGCTTCTCCCTCACACAGACTCGAGTTCCGCCGATGCACTTCATTTGAATTCTTCTTGGATTTAACGTATTTTTATGTATACAATGTTTACTCGTCCGTTAAGTGAGCATATTTACTCGTCTATCAAATGTGAAACGAAAGTTACTCTAATAAAGCTCCAATTAGCCTACTTTGAGGTGTTTATGATGTAACCAACCGACAATTCGTGTTCCAGAAACTTACGCACAACTCCGAATGATCCTTGCAGATTTGACAGATGACATGACGGTTTTGTCTTCAAAGTTTACTTCGAAACCAATAAAAATTGACTTCCAAAACACTACTGAGACTTTGAGTTCGTGATCAAGCGAATATACTGGAGTATGAAAGGGCTAGGCGTGATGATGTTGTTTAACAAAATTCTATGGAGTAATGTTGTGGCGCGTCGCTCCTCATTACTGCAAGTTACAGAGTGCTAGGATATCGACATTATTTCAGGTGGAATTAGTCGTACTAATCATGTGTGGAACTGATGCATCTGATCACCCATAGATTTGAGAACAGTGGGGAACAGGGAGTTTTATTGCAATTCAACATTGTTTGAAATTCTAGAGATGTTCATTTCAATGAGTTTAGTACCTAAAGTACTTCCCAGTTTTTGAAACGTGTTCATGATAACATCTATTCGTTGATTATCTTTATTGAACGAATGCTTTCATTCAAGTTTTCAAATACAGCAAATACAGTATTCTGCAATCCAGAGAAGTTGACAATAAAATGTGTTGTCCACTTTAGAGCAATAGCAAATTTTGAAACGCTCTGCAAAATGACCAAAAATCTTCTTAGAGCAAGCAGGCTATTGCGTCAAGCAAATTATAATAGCCTGCACATAAATTGCACCTTATCCATTTTTCTCGAGTATTTCATCTTAGTAGAGGTCTTGGCTCTTTTATTGTATGGACGACAGCTATTTTATTGCATTGCCAACCGCATGGCACACGTGGTTCATTGAGGAGGTGTACTTTGAGCGAAAATGTGAACTGAAAAATAAATTCATTTACGATTAACTAGGCCAGTTGCTATTAATGTATAGTCTTATTTCTTCAATGTGTGCAAGTCTATGGTGAGAGACCATGTCTCAGATTACGGGTCTTGCCAAAGCAACGGGTTACTGTCAAAGTCTTTACTATGATCACAGACTTGTTTGTGAATGGATTGGTAAGAAATAAGAAAGTGTTGTTCGAAATATCTCAACTGTAACTCTGATTACGTGGCACATGTCCTAGAGTTTTTCTGATGTATTATAAGTTGCACGCTGGAGCAGTACGAGACTGCAATAAATCAAAGTCGCCGTGTAATAACACAAAAGTATGGTTCATTGAAAATTCAAGCAAAAATCGCCTTCATGTGGCAGACATAAATATCATTCATTCTCTGACTAGAAGACGCGAGCACGCTTTACCTGCACCTTACTAACAACTTTATGAATGAGTTCTAACGCGTTTTGGTTGATTCGCTACTAGAATTCGTAAAACGTTTGAACCCTTTAAACCACGCTGGCTTGAACATGTTCTTTTACGATTCCTGATTGCAATCAACCAAAACGCGTTAGAACTCAATCTTGAACTTGTTGATCGAAGGTACGCAAAACGTGCTCGCGTCTCTTAGTCAGAAAATGAGTGATGTGTGAACAGGCGTCAAAGTGTTTGTTATAAGCAGTGAAACACAGAGTTTATCTGCCTTCGACAAAGATCAAGCGAATATCAAAGTATGATTGTAATAGTAGTAATGGCTACAAAAAGCGAAAAAGCCAGTTTACAAATTATTAGCGGTTCATGCTCAGCGACATCAAAATTTTCTCAACAGTACGCTCATAAGAAGTGTTATTGAATATAACTAAGTTATTTATGAGATTGATGTTGTACTGTAATCTTTAGCACTTGCTACGACTAATGGATCCAGAAACATGCAGCCGAATTCTGGAAGTTTGTCAGAAGCTGCATTGTTATTTCTGGTTGAGAAAAACAACTACTTGATGCGCTTCATGGCTGCATTTACCACGCTTCCTAATAAGCACAAGTTGTGTAGATAGAAGCAATAGAAAAAAATCACCTATATACTGATTTTTTCTGCGTTTGTTAACAATATCCAAAATTCTAATAAATATATCCTTTTTTTTCAACTGTCTGTGAAAATTTGTGATTTCCTAGAACATGTTGGAAAACTCAAATTTGCGCATTTGCGCTCATTCTGCTTGCGCAAATAAACACAGCTTCCACAAAAACGTACTATCAGGACAGACTTTGCGTTGTAAAAAGCAGGTTAAGCAATCTATGTGACTGACTACTCCAATTTTTACTGCGAGTCACGGATTTTTCATGGTCAAACACAGGAGAATCAGGATTTGGATGGTTTTCTTCCATTGCTTCTATCTATGCAATTTGTGCGTTTCAGAAAGCACGCTAGGTAGTAATAAAGCGCGTGCCTTCCTCTTGCAAATAATACTAAGTGCATGCAAACCTATTTGAAAATTAAGGAGCTACAAAATTTTTGAAAATGGTGCGACAGATCTTTCGTGCCAACCATATGGAAAGCATTGATTACAATGTTTGATTGTAAAAATAGAATTTGGGTGGCGGGCCACGTGGGTAGAAGGATTTGCGACAGAAGAATAACGAAAACTTTACTAACGGAAAAAAAAGAACACTGGAAAAGCACAAGCCTGCCTTGTGGGCAGTACAAGAAAATACTCACGAAGAGAAAGAAAGAATTAAAAGAAAATAACAATGCGGCCACCGCCGCTCCTCGTCGTCAATAATATCGGCAATAATCACGAACGAAAACAAAACAATCAACAAGCGCTTTGGCGCGCGCAGATCACAATATCGGATCACCTATTAGATCAAAACGGTCCTTCTTCCTTACACGCCCCTCCTCGAAAAGTCACCTCCGGGGACTTGCTCGTAGTATCGACCGCGCTGCTTCATATTTGGGGCTTGCTCCATCCGCTTCGCTATGGGGTTTCGTAGATACATGATTTCCGGCTTCCTCATCCTCTTCCTTTTCGCATCGGGTTCTCCTTCAGTTCCTGACGGCTTGCTTGACTTTCCCTTCTTCTTCTCCCGTATGTGGAATGTCGGCAGACGTAGCGTGTTCGAGGCTGTTTCTCGCAACTGCTCCAGGAAAATTAAAATTTGCCATCCGTGCAACTTATCTTCTCCTTTCCGGGGGCTTATTCCCAAACATGTGGCCGGGTGGAGCTTCGGGATTGCATCTTCTAATGGTCCATAGTGGTCTATCACCTTGGCGTCAAACCCCCTGGCCGGTCCAGTCAACATTCGCACGACTTCAACGCAGACTTTTCGGAGTTCCTCCCACTCTTCCTTGCGCGCCTTCTCGAAAGGTGGCGGAAAGCAGTCCAACGTTCCACCGCATTGCAAATGCCTCTCGACGGCCTGCATGCTCCTTCTCATCTGGTCCGACCTCGGCATTTTCTCCGGCCAAACCCATAGCATCGCCGCGCTAATGGGTATTTTGTTCAATTGATCCGCCATGTCGTCAAGGTGGTTGTACACAACGAACTTCACTGAATCTTCTGCGACAACCTCCGTCCGCACACGCTCGAAAGCCTTCGGCAAGGCTAGAATAATCGAATTCGTCGGCATGTCGTCTCCGTCCAAGTGACTGAGTTGTTCCTTTCTCGCGAGTGCTTGATTGTAATATGCTAACAAATCGTAATCCGTCCTTTGCGTAAAGATGTCCGGATGGTGAAGCCGCTGTCCTTCTCTCTCGCGAAGTGCCATAGCAAAATCATGGCAGAACGACCGATGAGCTGTGATGGCGCAACTAAGTCCAATGACCGACAGGTATGTGGACTGCTTCTTCAAGAGCTCGTTCTATTTTCTCCAGTCTCCCCAAGTGGGTTCCATGGCGATTGAAGCAACATTCGCGAGCTCGAACAGGTTCTTTACTTTCTTCGACCTGGCTAACTGGCATCGCAATCCGGGCAGGGCCACATGGGCACGTTCTCCGAAAATGCCACAATTACAAGGATGTAGGAGGTGCAGTGGATCCGTTCGCGGGTCTCCAACTTCAACCCTGAAACAAGAAACTTTAGAGTTCGTAATCTTCCTTGGTCGACCCCTTTTTGCTCTGCCCCTATTGGTTTTTACAGGCTCATTGTCAACCCCTCGGGGCACTTTCCTGAGCTGATCAAAAGGTACACGCTTAGGCTCGTTGTTCGCATTTATAAGCGTAATCAAACGCTGTTGTCGCTAAGTTCGATTACTCTAAAAGGGCCTGACCAATCGTTAGCTAGTTTAGGGTGATTAGATGACGACTTTTCCATAGGTACCTTCATATATACCCGGTCGCCTAAAGTCAACGGTCTCTCGTTGACCTTGTGCTTTTTATCGTAGTCGAACTTCATCCTTTTCCGAGCCTTTTCGTTTTCTTCGCGGACAAGTTCGTGAGTCATGCGCATCCCTACCACAAGCTCGTTCACGTAACTGTCCAGGTCCACCATATAAGTTGTGATTGCATTATCAGCGCTGTTTCGGGGAACATAAGGATCGAACCCATGGAGTAGAAAGAATGGTGATTCACCAGTGGACTCGTGTATAGCAATGTTATATGCTAACACACAGTATGGAAGCATCTTGTCCCACTCCACCGGAATCTCTACCTTCTTTCTCAGCAACTGTACGATGGTTTTGTTGAATCGCTCTGTCAACCCATTCTCTCTGGGGTTGTAACCTTTGGTGAATGTTTGCTTTATCCCTAAAGTCTTGGACAACTCATTCAGCATCTTGTTGTCAAACTCCCCTCCTTGATCAGACAGGATACATTTAGGGAATCGGCAACCTTCTGCTACCCATCTTTCAAATAGTACTCTAGTAACTTCTTCTGCTGACTTGGACGCTATAGCGTAAGCTCCTCCATACTTTGTAAAGTGGTCTATGACGCTCAAAATGTAGCGGTTTCCACTGGTGGTTGATCCCATTTCCAGTATGTCGACGCCAATGATCTCGTATGATTTGGAGACAGCGATGGGTTTCAGGGGTGGCGTCATTTTGGGTTTGTGGTTGTGCAGAGTGCACATTTTACACTCTTCCGCCCATCCAAGTATGTCCTTATGCATACTATCCCAGAAGAACTTTTTTGACAACTCTCTCATCAGCTTCCGTGGACCAAAATGTCCTGCCAGCAACGAAGAATGAGCCTCCAAAAACACTTCTTTGCGCCGTTCTTGTGGTACCACTCTTCTATAACCATCCTTCCCCACGTGGCCCGCCACCCAAATTCTATTTTTACATGGGAAGAAATTGTATTTTTACATGTAAGGAAGAAGGACCGTTTTGATCTAATAGGTGATCCGATATTGTGATCTGCGCGCGCCAAAGCGCTTGTTGATTGTTTGTTTTCGTTCGTGATTATTGCCGATATTATTGACGACGAGGAGCGGCGGTGGCCGCATTGTTATCTTCTTTTAATTCTTTCTTTCTCTTCGTGAGTATTTTCTTGTACTGCCCACAAGGCAGGCTTGTGCTTTTCCAGTGTTCTTTTTTTCCGTTAGTAAAGTTTTCGTTATTCTTCTGTCGCAAATCCTTCTACCCACGTGGCCCGCCACCCAAATTCTATTTTTACATGGAGGCCGAACAAATTTGAACACGGGAAACAATTTTTTTTTGCAAAACTTCTTGTCGGGGGAAATTTTGCATCGTTGTGGCGTGGACTACTGGGCCAATTATTGTGCTGGTCGATCCACAGGTCATCTGTGGAAGACCATTGAGCACATACGGGTACAAGAGCCTCTGGTCGAGGTGGTACCTGGAAATCACCGTGAGGTGAGGTGCCGGTTGGATCCACAGATGTCTGTGGAACACCGTAAGGCACAATCAGGTACGAGAACCTCTGGACGAGGGGGTACCTACACACCACCGTGGGTGGGAAGGACTTGCTAGAAGCAAGAACCTTCATTGAGTGAAGCAGGAAGCTGCCGTGAAGCCCTGCTCGATCGATTGATAACGGAAAAGGCTGATTCTTTTCTGTTTCAGAGTATGGCGGAATCCATGGATGAAGAAATGGAAGCCATGATCCTCATGGACGAGGAGGGCAAGCGCATTGAAGATCTTCAAGCGCAAATTGCCGGATTGACGCAGCAAGTGCGTCAGCTAGTGGAAAAGCAGTCTCAGGTATGCGTTGTACCTGTCAAGATGGGAGAATACTTAGCAGAAATTCGCAGCCTTGTGAATAAGGGTAAGCGAAAAGGCGAAGCTAGGAAAAGCCCTAGAAGCACTAGCGCCGATTGTCTGCAAATAGATAACGCCTGTGAGGGACTGCAAGTAGAAATTAGAAAAATTGAGCAGCTGTTTGAAGAAATAAATAAGCTCAAAAATGTGGCCGTGGATCAACTAGAAAAAGACTTAGTTGAAATCCTAGAGCAAGCGCAGTTTGATGACGGTGCGATGAGAAAGCTGTCACAACTTCTTGCGGTAGACTCAACCCAAGTGGTAGCAAGCGTACAGCGCATCCTCGGGTTAGGGGTCGACAACTCGCAAGTAGAACAGCCGCGTACAGATGGAGAAGAATTAAGAGCTAGAGCTACTGTACATATTCTTCAGAGCCGTGGCGAGGGACAGTCGAGTGACAGCGCACCACCCAATTTTCAAGACGCGCTGAAGCAGTTACGTACCAATGAAGTCCCTAAAGACTTGCAGCTGGCCGAATTTGACCCAATCGCGGCCGCAAGAGGTGATTATTCGCGCGATAGAATCGCGCCAGTAACACAAAATAGGCGTTATATATTGCCACAGAGACAAATGATTCCTCATTTGCAGAGAGAGCAGCCCGCGAGAGAGCCGCCAAAGCTGCCGGAATCCCTCTCCAAGAAGTCGAGGAGGATTTGCCAAGGTAGGAATGATACACTTACTTCTGAAATGGGGTTGACAAGTGTAGTATGTTCCGCGTTCACCGCGATGGCTCTGCCAGAGGTCCCAGTATTTGAGAACGGGCAAGGGAAAGGGTTTGACAAATTTTTGCGCTCTTTTATGATCAAATATGGGAGATTAAACTTGGGGGATGAAAGTGGATGCTCATCCACTTGTTGTGCTCGAAGTTATCGAGACAACCTCGGGTGGTGGTGGAGACTCTTCCCCTGGAGGTTCGGGAGGGAACGTTCCAAGAATTTGTGGCTGCGTTAACAGCCAAATTCAAGGAAAACGAGTCTGCCAACAGGATGGAGGCATACATTAGCCTCAAAAACATCCTTTACTCTGGGAGTATCTCAGAGTACTGTGTTCGGCTAGAACAGCTGACAAGGGCAGCCTACCCCGAATCGTCGGAGAGGGAGCTTTCCATTCTGCGCACTGGAGAGCTGATCGCACAACTCACTGATTGGCCGGAGTACGTTCAACTGTACACGGAGGTAGAACAGACTCCTGCGGAGGAGGCTTATGAGAAGCTAAAGGCCCTGGCACAGCGAATTGAGAGAAGTAGGGAAGTGGCACTACACTTGAAGCACGAGGCCACGAATAAGCTGAGACGTGTTCCCCTCGGGATAAAAGGACGCCAGACGCCACAAGGGAGGAAGTACTCGATTCGTCCTGAGATAGAGCAAAGAAATAAGGACCACTCAGAATGGTCGAACCTGAACCGGAACGGACAGCAAGAAGTATCGAAGAATCGAGAATTGCTGTGCCACAACTGCAAAAAGCCCGGACATTTCAGAAGGGACTGCAAGGAACCTTCACAGATACAGCATACTCCCAGAATTTCAAGGGAAGTCTCACAAGGAGGCAAGAACAATGCCACGAATGAACGGGGTGCAGGATCTTTCTCTGCTGTGCTACGGCACTGGGCATGTACAACAGTCGCAAAGAAGAACGCTAGTGACCTGGTAGGCAGTCAGACACTAGAAACGGTAAAATCTTCCAACTCCGACTGTTCTTTAATCTTGGCATAGATATGAACCGTAGCAGGGTGTTGAGCAACACGACCAAGATGGCAATTTCTCTTTATTAACTTCGGCCAACGTTTCGGCGCAATCGAGTACTCTGCGTTGATACCACTGCTATACATAAGGATCTCTTCCCTCAGACGTCAATGAAGAAGCAAGACAATTCAGTTGAAAGCTAGTACGAAGGAAAGAACCAGAGTCACGGCAAAGCAATACTCACCTTAATCGTTGCATAGGGGGTACGAGGACCACCAACTATGCCAACAACTATACCTCTGCCCTATTTATAGTAATGAGGTGACCTGACCTAGCCTCAGAAACCGCAAAGGGCCTGATATGGCGCGAGTTCGTTAGTTATTGCAATACACTCCTCCTTTCGGTTCATTTTTGGATTTTTAGCGCTGATCCAAAACGCTTCCAAAGTCTTGCGCGATAGGACTTCGGGTTCGTAGGACAAAAGCGAGGCTCCAATTTGTATTTCAGCATTTTCGTGTTGCAGTAAGCGATGACTACCGAGCGGTGTACTGGTCCTTGACTTGTTCAGTCCATCTAGATGTTCCTTTATGCGGCAGCAAAGGCGGGCGCCCAGTTTCGCCTATGTACGTGTCGCCACATGATAAACATGTGATGATGTATATACATTGTGATATACATTATCACATGTTTATCATGTGGCGACACGTACATAGGCGAAACTGGGCGCCCGCTTTGCTGCCGCATAAAGGAACATCTAGATGGACTGAACAAGTCAAGGACCAGTACACCGCTCGGTAGTCATCGCTTACTGCAACACGAAAATGCTGAAATACAAATTGGAGCCTCGCTTTTGTCCTACGAACCCGAAGT